CATTCACATGATTCCATCGTTATTGCACCTTAAGCGATCCAACAATTTGATGGCAAATCTTTTCAAGAGGAGGGGAATGAAATGAGTTCTAAGAGCTGCCCGTACCTTATTTCAAGATCCACTCATGGTTCATTGGGGTCCAATGAATAGAGTTAAAAACAAGTGCATGACTTGAGTAAGAACCATAAGAACAGTGGCTTAAGACCTAGCTAAGGGTCATGGATTGGTTATGTTTATAGATACACGGCTAGGTAGGGGTAGGCAAAAAATTCGATCCGATCCGAAACCCGACTAACTCGATCCAATCCGAAAAATAGGATATCCGATCTGATTTTTCTTAGTGGGACGGATGCGGGTCGGGTACCCGCAAAACCGGATCAGCAAAATAAAAACCCGCGGGTACCCGACCCGCAAGGTATATTATATAAATATTAAAAAAATAAGGGTTCATTATATAATTTTATAATTTTTAATCTCATATGATCCGCCTCTCCTCATCTTGTCTAAAAAAAGTGAAAATTCTTGGTGAAACCTGAATCAAATGAATAAAACAAAGAAAAATTTGTGAAACTCTGTCATAAAAATTGTTCATCCCTTTCATCCTTTTTCATTTTTATTCTACTTCCATCGATCTTTCTTGCAAAATTTTCATCAATTCAATCAAAAATTTGTGTTTGGAGCTCCAATTTTCTATTAGTTAGATAATTAAAGCATTTGTGTCTTTCATTTATTTATTTATTTTATTGCAATTGTGTCTCTTAAATTTGTCTCCTTTATTTTAGTGCAAGAAATTTATTTTTCTTTTTCATCACCTTTAATGCAACAAGGTCTATTCCAAAGATGTAAGAAAGTTGGAGAAAATTTTTCAAGATTATTTTGGTTATACTTTCTAAAAAAATTATTAACTCTGTTCAATTCTTTTCCGGACTTGATTCTACAATCGACTCATTTTGGATGCAATCTTGTACCATAATATCCTTAAGGAAGTTGGAAAAGTTACCATATATTTATTATCCTTGTCTTTGTTATGTTGTAAAAAGATGAAATGCATGAGAATGGTGATGTACTCAAAATTATCATAAAATTTCGTTTTATCCTTGTGTTTGTTATACTTGGAAAAGTTGCCATATACTTATTATCCTTGTGTTTGTTATATTGCAGAATGATGAAATGCATGAGAATGGTGATATACTCAAAATTATCATAAAATTTCGTTTTATCTATTAGATATTATAATTCTAATATGTACTAAATTTATGAAATCAATTTGATTATTGGATGAAATGTGTGAGAATGGTGATGTATGGATTTTAATTATAATATCTCTACCAATGTTAATTGGAAAGCATACTTTTTTTATTGGAAAACATGTTGATATTAAGTGAAAAAATTTTTTTTATTGGAAAATAGTTTTTTTTTTAGGGGCGGGTACCCTATGACCCGCCCCTTTTTTTCAGGTACCCGAATAGCGGGTACCCAAAAACATTAGGAGCTGGTTAGGGTCGCAAAATGGCTGATCCGATATTTTAGGGTCGAGTCAGCCAAATCTTGTTAGGGACGGGTACCCGACCCGTGCCCACCCCTACGGCTAGGTCATGTGGACCAATGTTATTAGCCGAACTTGAGTTAATTTTTGTATAGCGGAATTAGGTTTAGTTTAGTTAAGTCCTAGTTCTACTTAAGTTAGGAGTTGAGTCTTGTAAGCCTATAAAAGGCACCATTTTAGTTCAAATAAGGGTAGATGATTATGAATGAAAATTGAGAGTTTTATCTTTCTTGTTCGTTTGTGAACGCCCTTGATACAAAGTGATGAGTCGTGTCTCTTTTGTTCAAGTTTTGACTTATTAATTCAATAACGCGTTGAATTGTGGAGCCTTCTACCCTTCTAATCAATCTCAAGCTATCCTTGATTGGATTAGAATCCATCCAATTTTGTCCATAGCCTGATCAAGATAAATCCTTCCGCTGCTTGTGCAATTTGTTTCTTCAAGAGCGAGAGTTTGGAGATTTGAGTTTGTATCAAAGTTTCATTTACTTTTCTTTTGTTCTTTGGCTCCATTTGGATTGGTCATTTTTTCAAAAACAAGTTTTTCAAATACAATACTACAGTAATACACAACAACTAAAAAAAATCTCATTCATACAATATAGGGAAAATGACTTGTTTCATCCTTTATATTTCGCAAAAATATTCTTTTCGTTCCTCACTTTTAAAACGAAGCAAATTCATCCCTAACATTTAAAAAGTAAAACTATTACATCCCTGAACCTAATTTTCAATCTGAATCAAATCACCTATCAACCTGATTACAAATTTTGGAGGTATAATTGGCAGATCACTTGGTTAACTCAACTTGATATTCAATTGAAATTTAATGTACCACAAAAAAAAATTATAACATAGAAAAGAAGGATTAATCTTTCCTACATTGTCATTGTATACATTGACGGGTTTATGTACCTGCCACATCATTTCAATTTAAATTTAAACACCAAATTTTGTATTTGTGATATACATCTAGACTCGCAAGCGTATATACTAACGATGCATGAAAAGATTTATTCAAAAAAGAAACCTTACTATTCCAAAACAAAGAATGGTCTTTTATGTTATAATTTTTTATTTTTTTTGGTTTAATAAATGTCACGTGAATATGATGGAGTTGACTGAATGATCCATCAATTCTAACTCCGAAATTTATTACAGAATTATTGGATAGTTTGATTCAGATTGAAAATTAGGTTCAGGGATGTAATAGTTTTAATTTTTAAATGTTAGGGACGAATTTGCTTCGTTTTAAAAGTGAGGGACGAAAAGAATATTTTTGCGAAATGTGAGGGATCCCACAGGTCATTTTCCCTACAATATATCAAAGATTTCAAAAAAAAAATTATAATAAAAACTTTTCATATACACTACTACAGTAAAATTTTTCAAAAATACCCCCTAAAAACAGCTAATCCAAAAGAAGTGTTTAGCTGTGGGGAGGGGGATGGTTGCAATTTTTGGGATATCTATGGTGAAAGTCTTTAGTTTAATCTTTAATTTCTAATTTCTATTTTTGGTATTTTTAAAGTTTTATTTCAGTTTCTAAATTTTTAGTTTAATTTTTCAAATTTTCAAGTTTCTTAGGATTATCTTTGGTGTTGTGAAAATGCAATCAAGATGCAAATATCAAGAAGTATAATGTTACTAGCATGAATATTCTATTTCCTTAACAATTGACTTGAATGATGGATGTACCAGATTTGACGTAATTTTAATCAATTTGTGAGCTTTTGAACCTAATGAGCACTTCATTTAAATTTGCTCCATCTTCTTTTGTTGAGTGGTTATCACACATGATTTGATCATTCCAGATTTTGCTTTATTATGCATGTCAAGACCACATTTGAATTTGATGTATTAAAATGACAAAGGCAATTAAGTTTAATAATCTAAAGGCCTACCTTGAGTATGTTTTCCTATAGTTCACCATGTTTAACCCTTTCATTTGCTTTTGTTTAATTACCATAATTTTTACTTTAAACATTGTGTTTATACTCTCTCGTTTGAACCTTGTATCAAAGGAAACCTTTATTTCATTGCATGAAAAGTTATAGCTCTGTTGCAAGGTCGTGCTTGAAGTTGGCAAGTGTATTTGTGGTTATCTATGTCTTGTTGCGAGAAAATGAAAAAGAAAAAAAAAATGGAAAGTTTGAAAAAAAAAAAAAGAAGAGAAAAAGCAGAAAAAAGAAATGTTGTGAAGTGCCTTTGTAAATGTGTTGTGTTATATTTAGACAAAGTCATTTGTGATGTTTGCACCTGCCGAATTGGAGTAAGTTGCTGATAAGCTTGGAAGTTACCCATGTGATTGAAGATAGTCATCCAATCCAGGCAATTAATTGTTGGCATTTCCTTTGATATGTTAGCCTAAAATTTCCTTTTATCCAACCCTTTCTTCGTTCGTTAAAAAAAAAAAAAAATTTTGTCATTATTCTTTTTCTTTCTTTTCTCTTTAACAATAAACTCTAATATTCGTTTTATCTGCAATTTCACCATGAAAAGTGGCTAAATTCCTGTTTTAATGAAAGAATAATCAAAGTTGTGGTTCATTGAATATTGTGAGATCTAATTTGATTTTATTGTTTCATTTATTTATAAGTATTTATATATTCTCTATTCGTTCTTGAAATGATTATTTTATATAATTAAATAACTGATCACTATTTAATTATTGGAATAATCTATTGTCATCTTAAATATCAAATCCGTAATTGTTTGGTAATTTTAGCGTTTATGAAAAATGATATAATATAATTGTAATAAAAACTTTTGAATATATATCATGAGAATATATAATCTAATATAAATGAACTGAACTTGTCAGTTTGTTGTTGATAACTGGTAGTCTTTCTAATAATGAATGCTGTCAATAAATTAAATTCTAAGAGTTTGTTTAGATTGTCCAATTGGTAAAAAAAAAAATCACAAACTTTATTTTGATTATTGATGCATTAACAAGAGACAGACTATCTGAATTTATTGACAACCATAACCAATTTATTTATAAATAAATAATTTTTATATTTGCATTGAAGATCAGTTAAATGAACCAAAATAACGATTAATCCTTTGACTAGAAGCTTGTTTCAAATTGATTTATTTTTATTTAAAATTTTGCATCATTGTCTGTATTCAAGTGAGTTACTTAGATTAATTTCTCAATAGTTCCCCTTTAATTTAATTGTTTTACAAAGAAATAAATCATACAATTCTCGAGGATATGACCCTATTCATTACTATATTTGAGTATATATTTTTGGGTAGAAATTTTTATTTTTGTCGGTTTGATACCATTAATCATTGCCATTGGGGCTTCTATTTGGCCTAATTTATCTTCAACAAGTTTATTCTTGCTATTATAAAATAGCTATAGCTCAGATATCTCTCATATGGTATCAGAGCCAGAGGGTGGAACCAAATTGTATTGTATGTATTCAAACAATTAGAGAAAAAGTTCAAACAAAACCGTTCTGTAAGGAGAATTTCAACTAAAGATCCCCCAAATTCCTCCCTCGTCTATAGAGTTTGTCAGTTTTTTTTTTTTTTTTTTTAAAAAAAAAGGTGAAGTAACTCACAAAATCGACGAGAACAATACAAAAAGGATGGACAAAATACAACCACTTAACTCGTGATTTCAACTTCTTATAATACAATTGCTTGAGCTCTAGTGAATACAAAAACCCCCCCACCTCCAACAGCACGACCTAAAAGCATATTCTTGTCCAGATACGATAGGTAATACAGACCTCCCACAGAAGTCCTGCATATTCCATTACATGTGAAAATGAAGGGTTAATCTTCTACCTACTGACAATGATTATATTGTCAGTTTCAGATAAATGACAATTATATAAAATTTGAATTTAAAATATAATTTTTGCACATGTATCATAAATCCAATCGCAATAATGTACATAGTAACAGTGTATGTAAGATTTACTCAAAAATCTACAAAAAACACAGATCAACAATGATGGCAATTAAATGTGCCTCTACATACCTTCCTGGGTTTCTCACAGGAAATTCAGCTTTGAAAGCTCGGATGAACTGTAAGATCTGTGTAATTCATCATGCAACTTTTGAGCAAAAGCATTGGATAATAGTGTAAAGAGTTACTTAAGGTAATCTGCAAATTGAAGCGGTCATGTAAATATGGCCTTGGGCCTAGTCCAAACGTGGCATGCTTTGTTTAACTGTAGCACACGTCAAGCAGGCAGAAAGGAATAGCAGCATAAACAAACAAATGTTTACATGTTTTTCAGGTCACCTTTGTTCTAACCTTTAAACTCAAATAGACCACAGAAAATAAAAACAAAAAAATAAAGATATCAGTGTCAATAAGGATTTAGCTTCTTTTTCTTTGTTTATCAGTTTGTTTCAAAAATTTTAACCTCATGAAAAGTTTAGCATATAGTTAGTTTTCAGTTTAAATTAAACAGAATTTAGACCGAAATCTTACCAGAAGATAAAATTCAAGACTATACAATGGAAATCTCCAGCTTAAGAGCATAGGATATACCTGGAAGCTAATAAATGACCTCGGTAGTATTGCTGGAGCTATCAGAGCTTGCAATTCTTCACTAATATTTATGTTGTTAAGAGCTATCTGTTAAAGAAAGTTGGCATCCCAAAAAAACTCCAAATAAGTTAATTGCAATACTTTTTGTATTATTGAGATTTCCACATATGCTAAGCTCAAAGGCTGGTTATTAACCAAGAATTCAGTTTCTGATAAAATCCAGTTCATCATCCTGAGAAATGATGTTAACTGAGGTTTGTACCCAAAGACTAGTTTGTTAAAGAGATTTGCGGTCCTCCAATGAAACAAATAAATTAAAAAAAAATGAAAAAAAGGAGTAAGGTCCATCTTACATTTAAGTTTACGAAGACAAAATTTTTACAATGCCTTTATCCATGAAAAAAAGAGTAAATATGCAATTCCAGATTAGTCATTTGAAAAGCAGGCATAAAAATCACAAGTTCTTCAAAGAAGCATGCAGCTAATAATTTTTTAAACTTGCTAATCCTTGATATGCATTTCATATTGACTATTGATTGAGAAGCAAACCTCTTCAAACTGAAGATAAATGTTGCGCGACGAAACAACAGAGAATTTGGCAGAGACAAGCAAAGTTGCACCTTCTTGCTCCTGTCAGAATGCCAAAATCGTATTGTCTCAACAGAAAGCTCACAAAGGATAAGAATCAAAATATAATAGACCAAGAAAACCAGAGTCAAGCACACAAGGGTATCAGTCAAAATACAACTTTTTTTCTACCGTTAATTTATACTTAATGCAAAACAAACAGTTAGTGAGGCAACTCTTAGGCTTCAGAAATACAATGCAGTCATACAAACAACATAAGCGGCCCCAAAAATACTCTCCTCCCATCACACCAGCAGAATCTCATCACGATATCCTCCATAAATGCCAGCAAAGTTTCGAATATTCCTTCAGAACTGGAAATAATCATCCTAAGAGGTTATGGCTGAGGTTACTTCTATGTTACATCTGCTTAAATATTTGATCTATAGTAACTTATCAGCTAAGAGGGGATCACCATGAAAAGCTGGATTCACATAGGAAAATGCTTGAGCAACTAGAAGATGATTTGATTTGCTTCATTTACCTTTTACTTGGTTCACTATAATTTGTAATAAAAAAACATACTCTTTCATAAGAAACAGCATTTCAAAGTTGGAAGCAATACCTTAGACTGGGATTTCCATAAGATAATCAAGTTAGCAGTCTTACATGAACCGTTATGTTTCCAAAATGATACCTCGCTAAGCACAAGACTTGAAAAAGAACAATATGTAGAGAGTCATATCAATAATAATAACAGAATTGATACTTTACCTCCAACAAACTTGGAATACTCCACTTCACAATATTACGTACTACTCCTCCATTGGATTCATCCCGGCATTCAAATTTTTGAAAAATCTGGCCGACCTGTTGACAACCATGTCAACCACAGATATGACGATGCAGGAAATGAGATTACTTTAGGTCACAAAGGGATAAAGGAAAAGAAAATGGGTTAATGTGTAGTTCCCCAATGAATATAACCTGAAAGAAGGGAAGCCTTGCAGCTGACTCAAAAAGAATGAGGACATCAGGAGCAGATGTGTATTGCAGACGCCATGTCCCATCCAACTCACCCAAGTCAATGGCTTCACCTGCATCAAAAGCTTCCACGCTCACCTGGCTCATTTGGGGAATTCATGAAAAATTAGAACCACATTAGAGAAGGAGCATTTAAAAACATATCCTTCTCTTAAGAAGAGAAAAGGGAAAAAAAAACTGACTAGAGCTTCCTCAATTACAGAGCGCTGGTCGGCAGTTGTCACAAGTCCGCGTTGAGTGTCCCGGATGACTCCAAGCAATTCATACTTCTTGTCTTCCAGTTCAGTTTCAGCATCCTGAAAATGACAATTGACCGCTTTTCTAGTGAGAAAAGTAGAGAAAGATGGGCGTGGAAAACACTGTTTCAGAATCCAACAGAAATATACTAATAATATATTATCCATTAAAGAAGATTGAGGACAGAACCCTTCTAGGAGACAGCCCTACAGTTGCCGAATAATGGACCACTTTTTGATGGTGCACATTGGTAGAAGAGTTTGGAGTTGGTACCAGAGACTTTTTGAATGGTACAGCCCTAATTACTGCTGCAGAACACACGGGAAAAGCAATTACATCCATTTTCTGGGCCAATCTACTTCTGCTCACATCTGTATGAAAACCACTGAATATGTCACCTGGCATTTTGGCATGGGAACAAATTATGTGTTGTTATGCCCAATTTGATAGCACAGATGACCAAACTAGCCAACATATTTCTTTTCTCGATCTAATGGTCATTAGTGCACTTCAAAACAATATATTTAATACCACATACAATTTGACATCTCCTTAACAAGCATATCAAAATTTGTAAGCATACTGCAGAAGAGAAGAAGTTGGGAAAACAAATGAGGGCAAACTGTAGGGGGGACAACTGATTGAATAGCTAAGACGATCTGTATCATGCTCTTGACAAAAAATTTGCTTGTCAATCCAAGACAAACCTAAAGTGAAACATGCGATAGCAGTTCAAAGTATGCGCTGCTGATTCAACAACGACCTTCACCTAGAATGACAATTCTAGCTGTAAAAGACAAATATCTGCGCAGCCACTACCAGAGCAAAACACTACAATGTCAGAAAAGTCTAAAAAGTCTTCAAAGTGTACGCATCTAAAAAGTCAGTATTTAGAAGAAAATCCCAGAATTATATCATCGAGCAAAGAAACAACCACTATAATGAAAATACCAAACTCAGCAGCAAAGTAAAAATGCAAGATAAAATGCAAAAATCAGAAAATAGGAGTAAATAACAAGAAAAGAATTATATGTCTGAAAGAAAATGACAAAACCAACATGAAAGCAAACTGATAAGAGGAAATGCAAGACAAATTGCCAGACTGCAAAAAGCGTAATATAACCCGTCAAAAGTTTTTGACAGATGTGGATACAGACATACGAAAATCAAAGAAAATCAGGTACCAGATCCCTTGAATCTATCCACCTCGAATATAAGCTATTCAAGGCAAAACCATCCTAGGGCTCTATCAGGGGTGAGAACTAACTATCTCAAAAGCTGATGCACATAAATTTGATCATGACAATGGACGAATTATAGTTGTTCCCGGTGAGTTACTACTTACTAATTAAAAGCAGCTCAACAAGATTAGTTGCTCTCCCTTACAAAAATAACTACAAGCGCATTTGGATTGAAAATTTATTTGGAAACATAATCAACTACTCTTTCTAATATCGCCAATTACATTTTCTAGATTCATCAGTAATACTTTTTTTTTGAGGCATCATTGCTAACCAATTCATTGCTGAGGCATTCAAAACATTTTTCTTTTATTCCTTTTTCTTTTAAACCATTGGACGAATTCTGGTGGAAAAGAGGGTAACTATTGATGCATAGTGCTACAAATTAAAGCTGTTAAAGCAAAATTCTGAGAACGAAATTCTAACAAAAGTGATCAAATTTATCACAATTTATGATTATTTTCAACACGAATAATGTCATATCATCACTACAGTTGGGATTGAAAAGAAAAGGAAAAACAGCAGATAAAAATTCAGAAAAAAGAAAATAGAGACACTCAAACAAGAAAAGGAAGTGAAGAAATGCAGGCTTACTACTAAAAAAGAAGCAAAATCGAAGGAAGAAGCCAAATAAGATTGTTAGGAGGAGGAGGAGGAAAAGAGGAGACAAATTGCCAGACTTACCAGAAACCGAAACAGAGACCGAGAAAGTGACTTAAAGAGTTAGTTGGAGATAGAATTCCCGCTCCAGAGTTGTCCTGGTCTCCTCCATTTCCACTGTGTGCCTTTCTTTTCTTTTTTTTTTTTTCTCTCTCGATGGACGAAATTGCCACAGTGCTCCGACGCATTTTTTGATTGAAGGTACCTTTTAAAAATTCAAAACGTCTCTCACGTCTCGTCAAATCAATAGCGTATTTAGAATACATATTATTTATATCTTATTTATATACATTAATTTAATTGTATCATTAATATATTTTTTAATTATTTTTTTATCTCACATTCATAAAATTATCTTAAATAATTTACTATCCAAACACACTCATTTTCATCCTTTATTTACAAAATAGTAATTTTATATTTCTTACAAAATCAAGATAAAATTTAGTTTCAACTTAATCTTTTAATCACTTTTTATACTGAATTCATCACGTGATCACACATGCTCATTTTTTAGCTGTCAAAATATTTGTAATTAAAGAAATAATACAATCCATATTTATTTTTGTCTTTTGTAGGACTGACCCAAATCATATTTATTTTGTATTGCATCAAGCTCAAACTTCCTTCTTGCATGCGTGCCCCCCTCCCCCACCCTCAAAGCACATAGTATTATAATAAGACGAAGCAACTTTTTGGTAGCGTATTCAATCAAATGAGTTTTTTTTTCCCAACTACGGATCCCATACTATCCCCCATAAACTGAAAATCCATAACCCCAACTTTTATAGGAATGCTGTTTAGTTGGCCTATGCCTGTTTGAACAGCCTTGGTTAATCCTGTCTTTTTTTGATAAGAAACAATACCATCTTTATAAGGTTCCTCCTCCGAATGAAATTCAATGGGATCCAGAGTGGGATCTCACCTTTTTAAACACAAAAAAAAAAATGATTGCATGTGGGTTACATGATGATTTCAAATTAAAAAGTAATCAGAAACTTAAATTGGTAACAAATTTTATCGATTTGGATCTATAATTGTAAGGGAAGTAAAATTAACATTTTAAAAATAAATGACGAAAAATTTATTTGACGAAATTTGAGGGACATCTTAATACTTGAAATTTCATTTCTTTTGGGTTAATATTGTCTTTTCAAGTTGTTCTTCTAGCTAACTATTCATTTCTTTCGCTTAACTTTTCTGGATAATTTCACAAACCCTCCTGAGGTTTTTGACACTTGCACTGACACCTCTCAAGGTTTTAAAAATTTCACAGCTCCCTTGCTTTTGAGATTTTGGTAATAACTGTGAGGACTCGTAAATTTTCTTATATTAAATTCTTATTTCGAGCTCATTTAATTATTTATTTGGCCAATTGCCTCGAATATTATTTCTAACCTTTTTAGACCTAATTATATGGATCTATAGCTTAGTTATATTTTTAAAGTGACTCGTTTCAAAATTTAATTTCTGAAGGCTCGTTAAGTGAAAATAGTGAATACGCGAATGGAGTAAATAATTGATTCGAGGATACAATAAGTTTGAAAAATTGAAAACTTGTACATTAGTCTCAAAATAGGTATTTTTATGTTTAAGTGCTCAATTATTAGTTAGTAATATTATCGTTCTAAGAATTTCTTAGAAATTTCACTCTATCACGTATAAATCGTAAGTACGTATTTTTGCGTGCGCATTTAATTGAGAGCCTTTAGACCATTATTTTGGGACTACTAAGAGTGAATAATATTAATATGAATGTAAGTGCATTAGAGGTTTAGTGCACTAGTGCAACAAACTTAAGAGGGATCGAACACAAAACACGCGCATACGTGCACTATTGCGGTTGACTTTGGTGCACCAAACACTTAACCTTTAAGTTACCTTTAAGGAGCTAGTCCATCACATTTTTTTTTGCCTCTCTTCCCTCTCTCATCAGCCGAGCAACACAAAGAGAAAAGAGAGCTCCAAGCTTCCAAGTTTTTCCTCTTCATTTCTTGCACAAAAACATCACCAAATCACACCAAAATTGAACTACACATAACTTAACCCTTGGAGTTTGTATCTAGCTAAGAAGGAGGGGCTGTTTTCACGGTTTTCTTGGCCAAGGAGAGGACCGAAAATTCTGTCCTTGTGCATCTAAGAAGGTGAGCCCGATCAACTCTCCAAATCTTGCTTCATGGTAGTAGTAATGCACGTTTAAGCCCTTGCATGTTTATGGGTAGCTTGTTTGTGATGGAAAATTGGTTGTGTGGGCTCTATGAACTCCCACCTTGGATATATGGACTGATTTGTGGTGTTTTGATGGTAATAATGTTTATTTAGTGCTTAAACAAGTGGATTAATGTTGGATTATTGATAGAAACTCAAGGATGGTGCATTGACCAAAAGTGACCGTTTTGCCCCTATCTTGTTTGAGCATTTTGGTGCGAAATTTTGAGAATCTAATGCCTTTTTTATGTTGTTTACATGTTATATTGATTGTGTAAAAATTTTCATGGAAAAATAACATGAATTGGTTGGTTAAATGAAGTGATTTCCAAAGTTTAGAAAACTGGAAAATGATTCCCGTCACTGCCCAGGCAGTCACCTTGTTTCGGCTATAACTCATCGCTCCGATGTCGGAATTGAGTGTTGTTTGTGGCACTGGAAACTAGACATTTCCAGCTTTCATTTGGTAAAAAATACACGTTCTGGTTCCACTCGAGTGAGTCAAACCATTCATTTGAAAATTGCTGTCTAGTTTCGTTTGTCACTGGGAGGCAGATTATGAACTGCTATTTGATGCTCACGTATGAGCTATTTATGGACAGATTTTGAAAATATTTTCTTCCGAGAAAATGTAGCCTTATCAATCTATTTTCCAACGCCACCAACCATACTCAATTCCGAGTTAAATTGAGTAATTTATGATCAAAATTCGAAACTGGTTTTGTGAAGAAAAACCATGCATTTGGACAGATTTGAAACTAACGATGCTTTGGGACTTGTTATCCGAAACTTCTTGGTGTAAATCACCTATCAAATGTACCTTGGACATATTTTAGACATTGCCTACTAGAATGAACCGTGTCTGAGTTGTTTTATTGGCCAAACATTTTAAAAACGGAAGTCCAAGGCAGATTTGCCGAGGAACTTCTTGGGACTTTAGTGGTTTCATTAACCAACTTTCCCTACATATTTTTCTATGAAAATTGGCAGAGGAATAGTCCCTATATGGTAGTATTATATTGCTAAATTTGGTGCCATTCCGACTCCGTTTCGCTGCTCAACTAAACTTCCAAAGTTCATTATTTGAGTTCGGAAAACCCTTGATTAACAAGGAAATTTTAGTAACTTTAAACTACCATATCTTGGTGCTCAAAACTCCAAATCCTGTTCCGTTTATTTTGTTTTAAACTTGAATCGCAACTCTAATAGAGTTCCAAATTTTAGAGGTTAGTTCAAATCAAGTGAATTTTACCGAATTTTCAAAGTTGGCCAAAAACCAACCTAAACCTGTCTTCAATGCCCCAGAACAGAAACTTTGAGCCAAATTTTGGATACCTTTCATTTGGAATCATGGAAAAGTGTATTCTAGAAACTTTTAGTAATTTCTAAGAGGTTTCCAACGGTACCAAGTTTTCCAATTTTGGACTTGTAGAGAGTGAGATACGATTTTTCAAAGTAAGTGTTACAAATCTAAAAATTTCAAAACTGAAAGGAAATGGAGTTGTTCAAACTCTCTTTTCCCTTTTAATGTCACTTGATCATTTTACACTCGATTTTAAGGATGTAAATCAGATTTTGCTTATGTGTTAAAACCCCACTTTTGAGCTTCGCTTTACTAATAATTGAGGCTCATTTTCGTGAAAATTTCTTAGATTGTACAAGAGTGCAATCTTCCTTATTAATTGGGGTTTATAAGTGATAGTTTATTATTAAATGCTCAGGCGCTCAAGAGGACCTTCCAGAAGATCTCGCGGGAGACGCCTAAACCATCATTTGAACTTGCTACTTGAATCACTGTGAGTGTCAAGTGCATGTATTTATTGTTATGCGAATTTGAAATTTTGAGACGAGTGTGTATTTTACCGCACTCGTTCTCTTTCGAACGAAATTATATTCATATTTTGCTATGTGAATTCATATTCGACTTGTACATAGTAATGTGGATGTGATTCGTATATATGATTCGTATTTGTGATTCCTAGTCAGAATCGTCGATTTGAGCGTTGCTCATCGACTTATATTCGTATTCGTATTCGGGGGACGCCCAAACTCGTTGGCTAACTTTGCGAATCGAGTCAGCATGGGTTTGGTCGATAAGCTTAGCAAACCATGAGATATTCGTAGAGTCTGATCTATTGGAGAGATCTTGCTCGGCATTACTCGCGCAGTATTGCCATGATATACTCGAGTATTATCAAAATTTTGATGAGCGGGCCCGGTAAGGGGGTGTAACGGTGACGGGATTCGAAGAAAGTGGTGTATCTACGGATTTGATACTTATGTGGTTGACGGAGTGTCAACATGAGATGTGATGAAGACTTTGATTCGACTACGTGAGAGCTACAATATCCTTGAATTGTTTCTGTTCAATTTTCCTATTCGAAATGTGAATTATTCGAAGTTGATAGCTTTATTTATTATATAAATTGTGACTACTTGGATTACGTGTTTGCATGTGTGTTTCTTGGCCTCACTGAGTATTGGCTCATCCCATTAGTTTGTTTTCCTTAACAGGAACCCGATTGGAAGGAGTTAAGCAAATGCCGACTTGAGGCACTTTTGTATTAGTGTTTTAATTGTAATCGACTAGACACTTTTGGATGTTATATATTTTGGGGAAAGTGATTGTAAATTTGGAATTGTGATGTAAGATTGGATATTTACGTATGGAAATGATTTCGCACCTT